TACATGTGTCAGAGCAATCATATCACAAAATGTCAGTGAGTACAACTGTTTACACAAATGAATGGCAAGTACAACCATATCACACAATGTTAGTACCATATCATACTACAATATCAGTATAACCATAGCAATGCATTCATTGTCTGTATAGAGCGGATTTCGTATGAGTGGGAAATGGACAGTACTGTACTGTGACCTTAATCGTACWGTAACCAAATTCTAGTGCGCCATTGGTTCACCAAAATTGTGCAGGCCAGGTCCGGTAACTGTGCGGTAACCGTGCGGTAACGGTGTCCCACTTATACGAAATCCGCTCTAATGTCAGTACAATTACAATATCATACAATTGTCAGTACAACCATTACCAACCATATCATACAATTACTATTCAGTACTATAACTATACCACACAATTTGTACATTTTGATGACTACATACTTAGAGGTTTCAAAATCCCATTTTTTGTAATTGGGATATGAGCAGTTGATGAATTTTCAAGCAAAAACAAATATATTAAACTAATATAATGTTATGGGTAATGCTTTTTTAATCATAGGCCTCCTGGCCATCATGCAGATGTGGACTTTGCCATGGGTTACTGTTATTTTAATAATGTTGCAATAGCTGCAAAGATCGCACAAAGAAAATGGGGAATGAACAGGTACAGCATCGCTAACTATTTAATTAAAAATAGAATTGTTGAATTGAGGTTATTATGCTGTGATAGTTGCCTGAGGAAATTGGATGTTCCAAAAAACAGATTGAAATAATTATTGGACAATCCTATGAAGTGTTAGGAACATTCAGTTTCCAAAGGCAACTTATTATTGCAGCAATGACCAAAATTTAAACTGCTCTAATTTATTATTCAATATAACAAAATTTTCTGGCAGGATCCTGTGGCAGGATCTTAATTTATATACAATGATAGTATCCCTCTGCAATCAACTCTCTGCAGTAGGCACTATCATATATATGGTTGCTTCTCCTCCAATGAGAGTGGAGGAAAATTTGTTATCGAATTATTGAATTATATTAATTGGATGATAGCTATCTTATACATTGCACTCTTTTCTGACAATGCAATCATGATTATGTTTAATTTAATATTTCAGTTAATGATAAATGGTCATTAAAATATTTTCTTTCCAGAATTTTAATTGTAGATTGGGATATTCATCATGGTAATGGCACTCAAAGTCTCTTTGAATCAGATCCAAGGTAAGTTTCAAGTCATTTTGAAATTGTAAGGAATTAGTCACTGATTGATTATAGTAAAATTGCAAACATCTGTAAATATATAAAAAAAACATTGGTAGCCCAAGAAAACGCATTGAATTGTGAAGAAAGACTTTTGAAATCTCACACTTTTATGCTCATAATGAGAAATATTTTGCACACAAATGAGTCTAACATGAGCATTGGAGAATTCAAAATTGGAGAATTTAGCTGAAAGACATCTCCAGATGTACATAAAGAGAAGATAATTCTGTCAAAAAGATTTTTATCAATTGCATGCATGATAGACTACCATGCATGTATCACCTTCAAATCAGTCCACCCAGTCAACACTCAGCCAGTTATGGAGGGTTTCTGGCAAAACAAGTTTACTATGTTGTAACACTATTTAGTGCTACCCTCTTTAAATTAAGTTATTATAAAACTTGTTAGATTAATGAAAAATTGAAATTTGTGTTTTATAGTGTCCTGTACTTCTCTATTCATGAATATCATCACGGCAAGTTTTATCCATCTTCCACTATAGCTAACCAYGATGTRGTTGGAACTGGGAAAGGCCAGGGTTTTAATGTTAATGTTCCTTGGAATAAGGTACATCAGAAGTCGTCTGAAGTGTTTGTCAATAATTCCCTTTGTCCTGCATGATCCTCATTAGGACAGATCAGCAGAGCTGATTCATGACAAGTCTAATTACTGTGACCAGTCTGGAGGACGGTGGCACACAGCTTGCATGCAGTCTTAAAATGTGCAGTGCTCAACTGCATCTTAGACAGTTTGCTAGAGCATCCTATAATTTTTGCATAAYTTTCTTCAATCATAACACATGGTGGCATCGTAGTAAAGATGGCTACCACTGAAGATTTGTGTTATTTTGGGCCAGTTTGTCTAAATTAACATGATTAATTAATAAACCACAATTTTCATTYTATAGTTTCACATGGGTGACGCTGACTACTTGGCTGTATTTCAACATGTGCTGCTGCCCATAGCACATGAGGTAAACAAATATTATTACAAATATTGAGAAACTAAAAGAATAATTCATGTATAAGTAACAGTTGTTAGTTCTCCTGTAGTAGAATATGGTTATTTTTGATTGCGGAGCTTGTTCTTTACTACATCTTGTAAGGGGCTTAATAAACTACTGCCAAGAAATTGCATAAGTGACCTACATTCTTTGTAAGATCAAGTTAAAGACAGTTTTGGAAGACTAAATGTGACTGTGTATAATATATACAACAAAGTTTCATTTCTTGCACAGTTACTGCACTATTGTTTGTATTTTGTTTAACATTTTTTGTTAAAACATTGGTGGTTGTACTCTCTACAAGTCAACATTATACAAATGTCATGTAATTCATTCAAAATGTAATTATATTCTTAAGTTTGATCCAGATATTGTGCTAGTGTCAGCTGGCTTTGATTCTGCAAGAGGAGATCCAAAGGTATTCTTAATGAAGCTAAGATATTTTTTTTTAATTAGGTGTGGAATTTTTATAGCACTTTAAGTCTCATGAAAGACGTTTTTAGACCAATAAACTTCACCTGGTAACCATGATATGATATCTCAGTCTTCCTAGCTTTAAATTGTCCCTCCTGGCACAAAATATATTGATTCAATYGTAGCCAAAACCYTTGGATCAAAATTTTAAACTTTGCTATTTTTAGCATCACCATATAAGAAATGCATCCCCCTTGACCTCCGAAAGGAAGTATTGTGTGTAAATGGTTGCAATGTAATCGTTTTGCGACTATCCAAACGGCACAAGCATCCAAGGTCACAAATAATATTTGTAGATATAACAAAAAGAATGCTACGGCCCAGAGTATTTTGTCAAGGATTGTAATAATTTTTTTTCTCAAAGAAAAAAAAAAAATAATAACAAAAGAAAGAAAGCAAAGAAAAATTCAAGGAATTCAAAAGAATTCCAGGCATTTTTATTATTTTAGGTGCTCATGTGTGTGTGTGTGTGTTTTTTTTTGGCCACAGATGGAACATTATTTTTAATTTAAGTGACTTATAGTAATATTTTCAAGGGCCTTTGTGATGTCAGCCCAGAAGGCTACTGCCAGTTAACCAATATGTTGATGGGACTTGCAGGAGGCAAAGTTGTCGTTATTTTAGAGGTAAGGCTTAATTGAATATGACATTGACTGTCTATTTTAATTTTTATAATCAAAATTACAAAATCACCCCAAAATTCATATTTGTATGAATTATGTGCAAATTGTATCAACTATAAGTAGTTGTATTGCAACTATACTGCTATAGGCAGATTAGCATGTTAAGGTTTTATTACAAAAATAGTATTTACAAAAACTATTGTACATGAGAAGCTCATTTTTTTAAGGAAAGCCTAAATCACTTGAGTACTGACTTGGTGATATATTTTGTCTTTGGTTTGACATATTACAATCATGTAAAAAAATATGTGTTGTATAGCAAAATGTGCTTAATGAGCTCCACCTGTATTCTCTAAAAAGGAGATTTTTAAAATTTAATGTCCCAAAAACTGTTTCATGAGCTATATATCACATCCTCATGGAGAGCTTATGTTGTGCTGTTGTTCAGAATGATGTTAATTTGCTATGTTTTTTTTTTCTTAAAAGAAATGGAAATGTTTAATTTGTTGTAAACAATGATGCCATTGCGCTTCAGTTCCTTTATTTATTGTCAGTGATTCACAAATGATACACTCACAAGTACATTTTACAATTATATGCTAAGGGACAGGAGATGAAAACAGGGCAAGCCCAACTGACATCCATCCCCTTTACATTAAAATGTAAATGTTTTGTTCATTTTTTTATTGGTTGATGTCATGACAGGGTGGGTACAACCTCACTTCAGTAGAGGAGTCAATGTGCAGTTGTACATCAACTCTTCTTGGTGACCCATGTCCAAGACTTGATGGAAATCAAGTCCCTTGTAAAAGGTAAAAATGTTGTTGAATTGAATGTCATGCTGATCACATTTCTCTATTTTTGTTGAGCAACTACATGATTGTATGAATATTAGTTTTAATTAGTAATACCCAGTTCATTTAGATTTGAGTCCACACTGATTTTGTTGCAATTTCAGTGCTATGGAGTCTATCAGAGATGTTGTTAATAGTCACAAGCCTTTCTGGAAAGCTTTGGAGTTTGTCAGTAAGTAATTACTATATTAGCATCACTGGGGTAATTTTCTGCAACCGTATTAATCAAAAGCATTTTATGCCAGCTAATTAGACAGTCATATAGGCAAAGGTATTATCACATCAACTTTGAATTTCAGATGTTCCTTTTGACCTGAATATCATTACCATGCATTATGTTCTGCTCAGTGAGTTCCCATTATTCCTCTTGGACTGAGATTATATTTATTAATATTGAAATTTAATTCTATTTATAGTTATTTTAAGAAAGGTTGTCAGAGCAAAAGTCAATGTTGTGCAAAAAATAAATTTAATACCAWAAAAAAWGTTTGTGAAACAACAAAGGATTAACATCTGAAATGTCAGCAAGTTGTTTCACCTACTTTTTTACGGTGTAAAATTTATTTTCWTACACAACTGTTTCTTKAGAAACACCGACCCAGCTCACACTAGTTTACCGCTAKTTTGTACCAAAAGTCACTATGGGAATTTTTGATGATAAGAGCCACTCATCYCCTAACAAACAAGAACAAACCAATCAAAGATTTTAATTTATCCATACAACAGTATACTGCAAGACAGCATTTTGATGAGAGAATTRCTACCATAAATTTTCAATACTAGTAATTTTTTGTCATTCATTCCCCAAATTTCCCTGGCAACCTTTCCTAAAATAACTATATACTGAACATATTATTTATTTTGCTCTGTACTGACTGCATCTAGTGAAACAGTCATTAAACATATCACCTTCATACTTCATCTTGCACTACAAAATGTCTGTATCTAATTTGAGATTGAATCATTTGTATGTAGTTGTGTTAAAATGAATGTTTTATTGATGATTTCTTGTCATTTTAGATATTGTAATTCCTGTTGAGGATGATAAAACTCATGATTGCACTTCAGGAAAAAAGTAAGTATGCAATACATGTTGCAGGCTTTTGGGGAAATATTTATAATCATTAATTTGTGTTTAGCTATTGCATATGATAATTAGGACCAGGAATTAAGCTCTTACAAACATGACTGATAGATTACGTTGATTGTCTATTTTCAGGGAAAATGAAAATACCTCTGATTTGGAAGGTAAAAAAGACATTTCTAATTGTATGTTTGGTGGGTTGGTTGGTCCGTTGGTTGGTTGGTTGGTTAATTGATTGATTGATTGATTTGTTGGTTGAATCATTGATTGATTGATGGATGGATGGATGAAGGGCTGGATGGATAGATGGATGGATGGAGGGGGGAGGGAGGGAGGGAGGGAGGGAGGGATTAAATAGCCATTTTTGTGGTTGGAAAACAAGTTGCACGAGTGGACTCTGATTTTGCACCAAAGCGATTCAGAATCGGGAAGCAACACCAAAAATTTCCTTTTTGAGCTAAGTCGTAGTTCTCGCTCTTTTTTTGCGGCCAAACAGTGGGCGACAAAAAATCTAATCGAGCGAACTGGAACGACTAATTCTATTTTTGAGCTCGTTTATGTTTCTGCAATATCACGAAAATAATTTTTTCTTGGTAAAAAAAAAAAATGATTGATTTATTCAATGTATTTACGATTAACTATCTTAAAATTTCTTTTCAGATAATGGTGATGCGAACCAGTCACATGAAAAACATCCGGACAAGTTGCATTCGTAACAATCTTAAAATATATCAAAAAATTCATTTCGTTTCCAAACACTTCTAATTTTACTGTATTCTTAAGGATTGCAAATAAAATAGTTTTAAACATAAATCATTACATAATTTTTCAGTTAATTTGAACATTCTGGTCATGTGTACAAAAGTTAATATTATTATATTAGCCGGTAAGTAGGTTATCAAAACATAGTGTTACATTCTTAAACATCATAACAAGTAGATTGTGTGACAGAAGGGAAATCCCGCGTAGTTTGGTATGTAAAAAATTGGCCCAGTTTCTGAGAAGTACTTGAAATCATGTGATATCGCCGGCTGTTCATATCTGAGTTATATTTGTGGTTCTATATTTTCACGAGTGTAGTTTTTTACGGTACGTATGGGTTGTTGTTTAAGTGGCGACCAAGAAACTGATCGCAACGGATCTCGAGGTGAAGATCATCCACTTCTTCATGCTCCACAAAAGGAATTTCGTCATGAACGATCTGAGGAGGATTTTAATAAACACAAAAMGATGAAGAATATACTACAATGTCTTTGCAGATCCCTGTGTCTGTACAACCCCTCTGGTTGGGGTTTGATTTTCAGTTTTATCTTGGCTTTGATATGCATTTTTCAGCTTGTCTATGATCTGTTCGTGGTGAGCGGTTGCCCGGGATTCGACTGTGGATTTCTTGTGAAGACAATTGAAGCCAAACCCAACGCCAGTGCACCCCATAGATCGTCATTTCGTAAGACTTCTAACACGGTGTACACTTTAGCATCAGTTGGTGGATTGTTCTCATATACATTGCTATTGCTATCATTGATGCTTATTCTGAACCGAAGGCGGAAGTACGSTAACAAAGCGATTGGTCCATCGGACGCGCTGTATGAAGATTTAACCAACACACAAATCAAGATAATATTCACGTCCCAAGTTATTCTGACATTTCTCTTTGTGTCAGCAGTGGTTTTGTTTGGTATTCTTGTTCGAGACCAGCCAAGGGACGGATGGTACTTCTATTTGATGATCACTGGAGTTGCAGCTCAGTTTATAGCTCAATGGGCAGCCATTGTTGGATGCCACGTTTTTGCAATTTCTTCCCTTTCATTGGGTAAGTTGTTTTTATTGTCAAGTCAAAAATATGCACTAAGCGAACTTGAGAATTAGCATAGCCTACCCAAATTGTGAATGCTCTCTAGTGAGTAAAAGGTAAACAATAAGTCAGCAAAATACGGCCATAGCGGCAAAAAATGAAGAAATCCCCGTGTTCCCAAAATTTGCAAAATGAACCACAGGTAACCCAGGCTCAATAACTTAGTATAAAATATGTCGTTCGCACAATTTAGTAAATTAAGTAGAGCAAGTTTTCCCTGCGAGAGCGGCTGACGTCCTATTGGTTGCTTTCGATTATACGCTCCCCCGCCTYGTCTCGCAATTGTTGAGCAATGTCCCCCGTAGATTTAAAGTGTTTATTSCCTTWTGTTAGAAATMAGCCAATCCAATTTGAGAATACTCTCTTCTTTTGGGACCACTGTGCCTCCGGACCAAATTAGTTATAGTCAGSATTACTTTAGTCCGAATATTAGAATTCAACGGCCGATAAAAATAACTTCCCGAAAAGCAATTCATTGACGAAKARCTTCAAAAGAATCYTTGRACATTCAWGTTTATTGTGGAGCAGTTAAATGTGGACAAAAGTATGGATTTTGACAAAAAATCGAGTGTAAGTAGAGTTGCTGTTGGAAATCTTTGCGTGCAGTTTCCGACCTTGTGTTAATATAAGTAGGTTAAACAATGGCATATCAAAAATGGCGTAAAATCTCTTAAAAACGAAAGATTTTCRACCAGGAAGGTAAGAGACGTTTTAYTTATGTTAGAATAATATTATTTAGGCAAAAAAAAATTGTGCGAACGACATATTTTATACTAAGTTGGAGCCTGGGTTTCCTGTGAATGAACACTTGTGATTCCAGAACTACATTTACATAACATACACTTCGTTACTAGGACAGTGTATGGAAGCTTCGTTACGTCTATGGCCTAGTAACATAGTAAAAAATATGCACATTGATATATAGCAACCGATTTTGGTGTTGGTTGTTACTTCATTGAAAATAAAATTGATCGTTTTCAACCATTACCATGAGATTCAAAAGATAAAAGGGCGGCCATGTTGGAGGAATGAACAATAGACACTAGTGAGAAATCATTTGTTGAAGTTCCTTCAAGATGGCCACTGTGAGGTATAGTGAAAATGAAGAACACGTTGGATAAAATTTAAAAGATCTTTGTTGGTTGTATTTTTCATATTTATACGTAGTTTGTTTGATCAACCATGAATAATTTTAAACTTCTTTCCAATTTAAACTTCTTTCCGATTTAATTTTGTTTAATAGGAACTTTGGCAAATGATACAATAAGAAGAATAAGGAAGATGACGAAAGATCAATCAAAACGAGACGGAAAGAGAAYGTCATATCAATCGACAGAAACACGAAAAGKSTCTGATGCAGGCCAACAAAAAGAAAATCCCGAAGCAATTAAATCACWTGGGGAAAAAGACGACCAGAAATCAGAGTCCACAAGTAAAGAAAACTTTGATAAGAGCACAAATAGCTTTGACGTAGCAYTRGGATACCACGAGGAGCTCTGTGATATTGTGTCCGACACTGTGTCAGCATATTGTCCGTGGTTTGTAATGCACTGGTTTTGTTATGGAGCTACATGTCTCATTGGAGTTATATACATCTCCGAAGAATTGACATATTCTAAAAATATCATTAAACTTGCGTATGTCAATGTGTTTCTTGTCACACACCTGTATATGTTCCTGTTACCATGCTGCTGTGCGGCATATATAACTGATACTTGTGGAGGTATGGTAATGMCAATCTTGAAAGATCCATCGACCATTTTCGTGAGACAGTGGTCGAGCTTAGTTTAATTTGACCCTTGTTAACTTTGAGAACAGTCGCCGCACTTGTCTCGAACCCCCGATCTGTTTGCAGAGTGTCTCTGGAAAAMATCGCGCACTTAAAAAGGTTGTAAATTTGATGTAATTATGATGTAAATGATTCACATCAAATTTACATCATTTTGGGCACTTACATCATATWTACACAAGTTACAACCTTTTAAAGTGCGCGATTTTTTCCATGTAAGGCTTTTCAAGATGGCACAAGGTGCTTAAAATGGAGAATAAGTAGCTGAAATCATGGGTTCCCGGGGACATATTTTGACTATTAGGCGCAGACGAGACGTTTTTCATAAAACCAATGAGTTCTGGTGCAAAAACAAAATGGCGCGGACGATCGTACCTCGATTACTGTATTAGCTGCCTTGGTTTRCAAAGCGAAGACTATGGATATAATAGTTTTAATGCCAAACAGTGGTGGATCCTGCATGGGGTGCGCACTCCCTCACCGAGACGTTTTAGTACTTTCGCATATTTTATGCTTCGAGCCATTTGCATTGTAATTGAAGGCATGCACCCCTTCCTGAAACCCTGGATCCGATCTGCGCACGTGGTACGGCTGCAAAGCAGGCTAGTAATATTGCTCCAATGAGGATTATAAATAACTGGTTGTATAATATGCCCTTTTGCAACCGTGCATATAAGCAATCATYTTACCTTGAGGAAATATCATTTGCAAACAAAACTTGATATTTTAAAATAATTTTTATCATTTGCAAACAAAACTTGATATTTTAAAATAATTTTTATCATTCTTTATTCAGGAATTTATTCCCGTATMAACAAAACAACATCCAAATACTGGGAGGAAGGCCATCCATTCAAGGACCGCAACCAGCTTTCCATGTTTACAGCGTATGCCAAAGACAGACAATGCGTGTTTAAAATCGGCAGACTGACATTCACATCCACGCTGGCATGGATATCACTCCTCTTGGGATCTACTGGACTTTTATTTCATTTCTTTTGATTTGGAAATTGTGTTTTTCTTTTGTTTTGTTTTGTTTTCATTTTCTTTGATTCTTTGCTTCGTTTTTTTCGATTATTTTACTGACTAGAAGGTTTATATTCAAGAGAGGTTTACATGTAACGACAAGGAATGTACAGAGAATGACCGGTCAGAGAGAACAACGAAAAATCGAATACAATGTAAATRTTCAGTATACCGGCCTTGGTATCGAGAACAGTGGGAAAAGATCCAGCAAATGAAAGCGAACAACTATAGTCTATCACTGGAAAAAATCGTGCGCTTTAAAGGTTGTAAATTTGATGTAAGTATGATGTAAGTGTCCAAAATGATGTAAATTTGATGTAAATCATTTTGGACACTTACATCATATTTCCATCAAATTTACAACCTTTGGCGCGCGATTTTTTTCCAGTGTATAGCCCACAGAAACAGGATGTCCCGAAAAACAAATAGTAGCCGAAAACGCAGTAGTATTGGTATTAGCATCCAAAATATTGAATAAAAAGGGGGCAATAAGCGGTAATTTGCCGCAACGACGTTGTAGAGTGCAAGTCACATAAGCATGAAACAATTCTTAACTATGTAGTGATAAATAAGATTTAGTTATCAACTAACTAAGAATTGAGAACGATGCTACAAAGGAATTTAGATAATTGGCATTGTGTTTATGCTTTGTTGAATTCTTAGTTAGTTGATAACGTAAATCTTATTTAGCAATACATATTAAGAATTGTTTCATGCTTATGTGACGTGCACTCTACAGCGATCTCCGACTCTCGTTCAGTTGACTGCTCATTTAAAAGCTCATTCAGTTCGTAGCGTAATTGGGCTTCCTGTCTCATGCCACATATTCAAAATGGCGGATAACACAGGATTTCAATTTCCTCCGTTTCGCTCTTTACAAGACGTGTTAACGGATGCTCAATTCACTCTGCCAACAATTAATGACCCCGAGAGGATGGGCAACAGAATAGCACAAAACTTAATCTATTACCAGACAAATTACTTTGGGTTATAYCTAGCTATTTTCTTGGTCGTTGGGTAAGTTGATTTAAGTTATTAAGCTTAAACTTACATATTTTATGATAAAGTGCCCTTATATTGTTCAAATTTATTGCTGAAATGTTTGTGATTAAAGAAAATGGATGAATCTACCGGTTTATATCATCCCAAAATGGACAAAATGAGAGTAGAATTCTTGCAGCTGAAATTTTGTATTGTTAGCAGGWGCATGTTTTAGAGCGCATTTCATGATGAATTTTGTATTAAACTTCTACTTAATAGTTCTTTGCAGTGGCTAAATTTTTTACAAATAAATTTGTAACAAGCTATTTTTCCTTTGTATTTGCCTCTTTTCCTAACTGTCCCGGTTTATTATTATAGGGTCTATAAATGTATAGCATCTTAAAAATAGCTTGTAGGTAGTGAGTATTAAAATTTTTTCCGCATATATATTTAAGCATATGTTCCGCATATATTTACATGCTCACGATTATGTATGGGTCAATTGAAACCCCCACACCCCCACTCCGGGCCTTACTGGGGCATAAATGGGTTTAGGCAAAGAAATCACACATTATGTGCCTTCGTGGTCRGGAGATTCATTTCTTTTCTCTGCTTTGTACATCTCAATAGGGGGCAGTCACTTTGGTTGATGGTAATTTTTTTTTTCTTCAGAACAGTGGTAATCAATGTTTATCGATTTTCACGTGCTTTGTGGCCAAAGCTATAATACCAGTTAGTCAAGAGACAAGGGGTTCACATTTCACTTTCTTTGTCTTGCTACAGGGGATAGGCATTCACTACTATTCACTTGAGATAAAAAAAAAGTAAATGCCCTACTAAGGCCTGGAGGGGGGATGCGGGCAATTCAAATAATTGACTTGTGCATTTTATTAGCACACTCTAATGATCCTGTTCAAAACTCAAGTGTTCACTGCAAAGACAGTAGTATAATTTTATAACATACAWCGAATGTGCTAGAAAAACACTTGCTAGACACATGCTCTTCCTATCTGTTTAATTGGCAGTATTGATACTGAAAAAGATGATCTGTTTTTAAATAATATGTATCATACACTTTGTTTTGTATTTTTCTATAAAGTACACTATACCCTAAAGACATGATTACAGGTGCTCTGGCCATAGTGATTACATTTGTCATCTACAACAAAATATTAAAAGCAAAGAGGACTAGTGGACATCAGGCAATGGCTGCAGAGAATTTCATTCCATTGGCTGTTGTAGCAATTGTTTTCCTGCTAATATACACATTAGGATCCTTGATGGTTCTGGTATGGGGGATTGTCAMACCTTTGCTTGGTAAGTCARAAATTGCTAAAAATATGAAGCTTTTGAGGAACATCCAGGGGCTTCATTATCTTTTTGAATGTGTGGATCTCTGATTGGCCAGTCAAACCTCTCGGCCCCAGAACGATGTAAGAATGTGAACTTCACAAAGTCGTTTTCATCTACCTCCAATGCTCGACCTTAGTAGAACTTATTGATAAAATCCACAGCAAAGTACTTGCCACACATAGATTGTACTGTGGTTGGCAACGGATGAAGCATTTCTTCATGCAGTTTCATTTTCACCAGTGGCGGCGGAGCCGGGAGGGAGGGGGGCACTGGCTTTCGCACAGAATATATTTTTTTTAATTTTTCTGAAGCGGCAGGTGCTATATGGCATTAATAGTAGCCCTCTGAGCCGGGCATTTTCGCCTCACATTGTCATGACTCTCGACCAATGAGAGTGGAAGAAGATTTGAATTTTAAATTATAAGCGTTTTATTAACTCCCCCTTTTGTGGATAATGTGTTATGTATCATTCTATTTTTAGTGGTTTTCCTGCATGCTGCATGTCGCAAGAGGAATTTAAGAAATAAGTTTACCAATGTTGCTGACATGTTCAAAGAGAACCCAAGTCCCATGACAGTGATTTTAGACTTCATTTGTGAGAAACAAGAAGCAGCTGAGATGAAAACAAGATTGAGGTAGTAACAGATGACACTGGAACAGTGAAAGAATTCATACAAATATAATTCACAAAATATAGTTTAAGTATTAATAATAATGATGTTAGTAGTCAGACTATTATATCAATTTCCTATATTTATAAAATTATAATTATAATTGAAAAAGTAATACAAGAAGATTTATCATTTTTKACTATTGGATATTTCGGCCTTTATTCAAAGGCCATCAATGGCATATTGAACTTACAAGATAATATTGGAAATATCCATGATAAAAAAAATGATAAATCTTCTCGTATTACTTTTTCTATTCAAACTTTATGCCCAAAAGAACATATAATTATAATTAATTGAATAATTATGAATCAAATTTTAATATCAACATAATAAGAAGTGATTTTGAGAGGAGTCCTCAAGTGAATAAAAACAAATAAAAAAAATACAAAATATTACACAATAAAAAACAGATGGGTCAATTAAAAGTAATAGATGAATATTGAAAAAAATGAAGGTTAAAATGTTATACTTTATAAAAGATCAAATTTTGTGACGGTTTCTACTTTATGCTATTAAATAGCTTTTTAGACAATGCTCTAGTCAGAAATCAATAATAAKATATAAGACTAGTATAAAAATTTTACAGACTTCAGATAATATTATTAATATATAGTATTTCTACAGTAAAGTATTACATTATGATTCTGCATTATTCATAAAGAGGCAGAGCAAGTCACGTTCTACATTGATATTCAAAAGAGAGAATAATTGACTAAACATAATATAGATTGGAATCTCTTTTAAAATCTTTCATTAGTTTTTATAGAGTTTTGTATAATATTGCTATATTTGTTAATGTTAGGACCAGAGCTACTATGTAATGTTATGATGTGCTKMKWAKAAYAAYWRWTAAWAWMWTYTWWWWAAYRRCGKMRWGMARYWATYWTSTKRYGWCRKMARMAMCMCYYYTTKYKKCKTSYT